TTTTACCTCAAGGGTAATGTCAACAATAATAATTTATGAAAACCTACATCCAAGTGTATCCGGATCGCTCCAACACAAAGTGCTTGCCAAAGGAAAAAGTGTAGAAAGGGAAAGGTGATGATCACCATGACTCTTGTATAAGGGTAGAAAATAAAAGTAAAAGATAGGCCCTTCGCAGAGGGAAGCAGAGGTTGTCATGCACTTTTATGGTCGGATGCACAAAACCTTAATGCAAAAGAACATCACTTTATATTGCCGCTTGTGATAAAGACCTTTATTATGCAGTCTGTCGCTTTTATTTCTTCCTTATCACAAGTTCGTTTAATGATTATTTTCTTCGCACTAATAGATCATACATATTTAGAGAGCAATTTTTATTGCATGCACCGATGACAACTTACTTGAAGGATCTTACTCAATCCATAGGTAGGTATGGTGGACTCTAATGACAAAACTGGTTTAAGGAATGTTTGGAAGCACAAGTAGTATCTCTACTTGGTGCAAAGAGTTTGGCTAGCATGAGAGGGAAAGACAAGCTCAACATGTTGGATGATCCAAGACAATATAACATTTCGGATATAGGAAAACATAACCCATTAAGTTGTCTTCCTTGTCCAACATCAACCTTTTAGCATGTCATATTTTGATGAGTGCTCACAATTGCAAAAGATGTCCAAGATAGTATATTTACATGTGAAATCTCTCTTCCGACAATATTCTTTCATGAATTGTTCAAGTGACCAATTCTGCGTTTGCTAACTTCCAATAAGTTTACTACCTATACTTATTATGTGTGAAGTCATTACTCCCCATGTTGTAAGCATATGAAATGTATATACATTCAGATTTATGATATTCAATTCATTCAACCATTTACTCATAGGATATATGTGAAGCACGTGAGTAAATGACAAACTACTCCAAAAAGATATAAGTGAAGAACACTGAGTAGTCAAATAATTAACTAGCCATGGGAGGATTCTTTTTCATTCAAGATTTCAGATCCAATGATTTTATTCAAACAGTAAGTAAAATTGAAAATACGCTCCAAGAAAAATACATATCATATGACGAATAAAAATATAGCTCTTAGTAAGGTATACCGATAGTTTTGAAGGCGAAAGAGGGGATGCCTTCCGGGGCATCCCCAAGCTTAGGTGCTTGAGTCTTCCTTGAGTATTACCTTGGGGTGCCTTAGGCATCCCCAAGCTTAGGGTCTTTCCACTCCTTATTCTCCTCATATCGATGTTGTCATGCTTATGCATTGTGTGTTGCTAATGTTGGGTGCATCATGACTAGATCTTTTCTACCATGAATTACAATGTTTAGTCGCTGCTTGAACTTTGGAGGTGCTCTGCATTTATGTTTTGCGGTCTCAGAAAGGGCTAGTGAGATACCACTATTGTCATATTATATCATGGTTGTTTTGACAACGTGTTGTTATTTGAGATATCTTATTATTGCTCGCTACTTGATTATGTCATTGATATGAGTTAATATAATTTTTAAGAGTTAATATTGACATGGTTAGTTATAATCTTGGTTGAAAACCTGGATGCTATTTAAGCTTATTTATGCAAACAAGAGCAAAAGAGTTCGTAAAAGTTTTTCTTTTTCACTTTCAGTTTATCAACTGAATTGCTTGAGGACAAGCAAAGGTTTAAGCTTGGGGGAGTTGATACGTCTCCGTCATATCTACTTTTTCTAACATATTTCCTCTTGTTTTGGACTCTAATTTGCATGATTTGAATGAAACCAACCCGGACTGACGCTGTTTTCAGCAGAACTACCATGGTGTTGTTTTTGTGCAGAAATAAAAGTTCTCGGATTGGAACGAAACTTTGCGAGGAATTTTTATATGAATAAAGATAATTTCTGGAGCCAAGAACCACCGTAGGGGGGCACCTAGGTGTGCACAACCCACCAGGGCGCCCCCCCTCTAGGCGCACCTAGGTGGGTTGTCCCCACCTGGTGGCCCCGCAGACCCTGAAATCGACGCTACAAAATCACATGTTTCCAGAAAAAAATTAGGTAGGAAGAATTATCGCGTTTCATGAGATGGAGCCACCGTCACCTCCTGTTCTTAATCGGGAGACAGGATCTGGAGTCCGTTTGGGGCTCCGGAGAGGGGGAACTTCGATCTTCGTCATCACCAACCCTCCTTCATCACCAATTCCATGATGCTCTCCATCGAGAGTGAGTAATTCCTTCGTAGGCTCGCTGGTCGGTGAGGAGTTGGATGAGATTCATCATGTAATCGAGTTAGTTTTGTTAGGGCTTGATCCCCAGTATCCACTACATTCTAAGATTGATGTTGCTACGACTTTGCCATGCTTAATGCTTGTCACTTTGGGCCTGGGTGCTATGATTTTAGATCCGAACCGTTTATGTTATCACCATTATATCTATGTTCTAGATCCGATCTTGCAAGTTATAGTCACCTACCACGTGTTATGATCCGGCAACCCCGGAGTGACAATAGTCGAGACACTTCCCGGTGATGACCGTAGTTTGAGGAGTTCATGTATTCACCGTGTGTTAATGCTTTGTTCCGGTTCTCTATTAAAAGGAGGCTTTAATATGCCTTAGTTTTTAATAGGATCCCGCTGCCACGAGAGGGTAGGACAAAAGATGTCGTGCAAGTTATTTTTATAAGCACATATGATTATTTACGGAATACATGCCTACATTATATTTATGAACTGGAGCTAGTGCCGTATCGCCCTAGGTTATGACTGTTATATGGTGAATATCATCCAACAAATCGTCGACCCAATGCCTACGATTTTCCTACATAATGATCTTGCTAAGTTACTATTGTTGTTGTTACTATTGTCACTGCTACAAAGCTATTACTATCATTGTTACCGTTACTGTTGCTGCTGTCACTACTATCAAATCTATCATATTACTGTGCTACTGATCACTTTGCCCCAGATATTAATCTCCAGGTGTGGTTGAATTGACAACTCAACTGCTAATACTTGCAAATATTCTTTGACTCTCCTTATGTTGAATCGATAAATTTGGGTTGAATACTCTACCCTCGAAAACTGTTACGGTCCCCTATACTTGTGGGTTATCATTTCCCCTTTTATGATCACTACGATCAGCCTATGTGCTTCGTGTCGTAATAGCACTACTCCACCCATCAAGCTAAACAAGTTTACTTGTACAAATTCGAATATGATATGATGCTGATATTAGTAAAACATAGACATGTTTAATTGGTCAGTTCTACTTGTGAGCTGTGTTGTGATTTTCCCTGAAGAGGAGATGAGATGCAACCCAATAGAGGTAAGTATTTTCCCTCAGTGAGAATCAAGGTATCAATCCAGTAGGAGAATCACACAAAGCCTCGTGAACAACACCTACGCAGACAAAAGCAAATACTTGCACCCACCGCGGGCAAGAGGGTTATAAGTCCCCTTGATCTCGTTACTTGCAAGGATTAATTCTGATAGTGATAGATAAAAAATTAAATTGCAAAGCAAAATAAAACAAAATAAAAGTGCAGCAAGGTATTTTCAGATTTAATATGTGATTAAAGTAGACCTCAGGCCATAATTTTCACTAGAGACTTCTCTCCCGAACACATAGCATACGATGGGTAAACATATTACTATTGTGCAACTAATAAAAAAGCGCATAGTTATGACGATATTCAAGGCAATGGTCATGTATATGGCCATCATGTCCGAGACAAAGTAGACCGACTCCTGCCTGCATCTACTACTATTACTCCACCCACCGGCTGCTATCCAGCATGCATCTAGGGTATTAAATTAATAAAAACAGAGTAACGCCTTAAGCAATATAACATGACGTAGACAAATTAAACTCAACTAATATGAATAAACCTCCTCGTTTTACCCTTAATGGCAACAATACAAATACATGTCTTGTCCCTTTCTGTCACTGGGATAGAGCACTGCAAGATTGAACCCATCACAAAGCACCTCTCCAACTGAAGATAAATCAATCTAGTTTGTGAAACTAAACGGATAGATCAAAGAGAAATACAAAGCTATAACAATCATACATTATAAAGTAGTTTAGAAAAGACTCCAATTACTAATCATAGATATTCAAATCATAAACTCATAATTCATCGGATCCCAACAAACACACCGTAAAAGAAGATTGCATCTGATAGAACTTCAAGAACATAGAGGAGAACATTATCACGATATCAGAACGCTTCTCACAAATAATATCGTCATTTCTCCTGCTCCACAAGGTGTGTTTGTTAATTTAACCATACCTTGTTTTCCCACTAAAATTCCATCATATACGTACTACCTTATCATTGACCTCACCTCACCTCACCTCAGAGCTCACCCCCCCCGTGGGATCGGACGGCCAGGATCGGCCCCTGGGGTGATAAAACCCTAACACCGAGCCGAGCAGAGGAAAGCAAGCCCCCTTTCGCAGTGGTTGGCCTCCCGACCCCTATCTTCTCTCCCACTAATCCCCCCCATTCCCCTCGCTGCCGCCGCCGCCGCCGCCGTCG